GGAGAAGGTACAGGGACGGTGCCCCTCGCTCCCGCTTCCCAGGGCTCCGGTGGCAGCCGGGACTCAGCCCACCCTTACTCCCGGGTTTTTGGGCAGCTCCCTATGCTAGAGGGGTCCCTGTGTTTCCCTCCGCAGCCCGAGCACGCCTACCTGTGCCAGATCTACAACCTGACGCTCCTCTGCATGGAGGATTACATCGTGGAGCCCCAGTCGGTGCAGTTCCTGGTGCAGCACGGCTTCGACTTCAACAAGCAGTACTCCCAGGGCATCCCCTACCACAAGGGCAACGACAAGGTACAGAAGGACTTTCCTTGCTCTGCTGCAGGCTCCTGGGGAGGTTGCTGCCTTCCCCTGGTCCCGGTGTCTTCCTCACAGCTGCTGAGTGAGGATGGCCCCTTTCAGCTCCCTGCTGGTTTACACAGAATCACAGAATGGCTCGGTTGGAAAAGCCCTCCGAGATCATCATGTCCAACCGTTCCTGTCTACCCCCTAAACCATATCCTTAAGTACCTCGTCTGCCCGCTCTTTAAACACATCCAGGGATGGTGACTCCACCACCTCCCTGGGCAGCCTGTTCCAGCCTCTGACGACCCTCTCAGTAAAGAACTTCCTCCTTCTCTCTAACCTGAACCTCCCTTGGCACAGCTTGGTGCCGTTTCCCCTTGTTCTATCCCCATCACCTGGGAGAAGAGCCCAGCACCCACCTCTCTCCAAGCTCCCTTGAGGCAGTTGTAGGTGGGGATGAGGTCTCCCCTCAGCCTTCTCTTCTCCAGGCTAAACAAGCCCAGTTCCCTCAGCCGCTCCTCAGTTTATATCCAGGCTATCTCGTGTTGCTCTTGCTTTTCCAAATGTTCAGAGCACATCGTAGCTGTAGACAGCTACAACGGGCTCAGAGGACTTCCCCAGGTCCAAGTCAAGGCACTTGGCTTGGTGACTGCTCTTTCCTCTTGCAGGGCAATGAGAACCAGAGCCAAAGCGTTCGGAGTTTTTTTCTGGAGCTCATACGAGCAAAGAAGCCTCTGATTCTCCACAACGGCCTGATCGACCTGGTCTTCCTGTACCAGTGCTTCTACGCTCACCTCCCAGACAACCTTGGCACCTTCACTGCCGACCTCTCGGAAATGTTTAAAAAAACAAGTACGCTTCCGAGTTTGAGACCCGCTTTGTAGCATCCTACCTGGAGTACGCTTACAAGAAGTGGTGAGTGGCGCTCTGGTATTTGAAGCTTGTGGGAGGAAAGGCCAGGGGACTGTTGGTGGTTTTGTTTTTCTAGGCAAGGGGGTTGGGTCTTTGTGAGTGAGGAAAGGTGCTTTTCAGGTGACTCTGCCCCATGCTCTTCCCATTTCTAGGACAGCTGCTGAGCACAGAAGGGTGCATTTTGTAATACACGTTATCTGTTCAGTGGGCAGCTGCTGGAAGGATTTCAGTCTTCCCATGGCAGCGGTTTTGACCACAGAGCGACCTGCTCTAACTGAAAAATAATGGATCTGCTGCATGGCCCTGGTCCAGCAGCACCACGGGGCTGCAGCAGGAACACAGGCAGGGAGACCCCTCAAAGTCAAAGTGAGGGAAACCAGGGTCTGCTGGTCAGAACTCGGTGCTGGGAGGGATGGCGCAGTCAAAGGGCGAGTGCTTCCTGCCCCTCCTGCTGCTGCCCAGCTCTGTCCCACAGCCCGCATGGGACACTCGTGTGCAGCCACCTACGACTCCCATCGGTTTCCTTCCAAGCAAAGGTTGTGCTTGTGTTCCAGGGGGTCCTGCCTCGCTTCCTGCCCCAGCTCTTGGTGGGTATCTTCCAGGCGCACACGCGCTGGGAGCAGAGATGTCTGCCCACTTCACGGGTCAGTCTGGCCCCTGGTTCTGCACTCCCCACACGCTCTAAACAAGCCCCTGGCAGTGATGCAGCCCCTTGAATCTCCAGTAAACTGAAGTCATGCTCTGTGCAGAGCAGAAGTGGTGCTCTCAGTGACTGTTTTGCAGCAGGAAATGCTGTTTTGACAGGTCTGAAAACATTCGAGGTGGCTGTTCTCAAGCAAGAGAATGCTTTGTTTTGACAAGATAAAAATAATTCTTCAACTGCCCTCTTCAATGTTTTAACCCACAATTCAGTGACTGCTTTGTAGCAGGAAATGCTGTTTTGACATGAAAACATTCGAGGTGGCTGTTCTCAAGCACGAGAATGCTTTGTTTTGACAAGATAAAAATAATTCTTCAACTGCCCTCTTCAATGTTTTAACCCACAATTCTTGTTTTGGGCCTTTTAACCAGCTCTTGGGTCAAAACAGGGCTTTTTCCATGAGATGGAAAACGTTTCCTTGTTGTCTGCATTGCCCAGGTCCCACCAGCCTGGGCAGTGGCTGCTGGGTGCTCCACACAACACCTCGTTTGTGGGCATTTTTTCTTTCTCCATTAACATTAGGAAAACTGACACATACCCTAGTGCCCTGAATACTTAAAATCAAACTCTGTGTCCCCCTTCTCCCTTAGCTCCACCAGACACACTGTTGTCCCCATCTGTGTGTTGGCATAAGAGAAACCAACCATTAAATCAGCATGGAAACAACTACTCACTAAAGCTGTTCTCCCAGCCCCGAGTTTCTCTGCAGGAGGCTGTCGAGCTGGGGCTGGAGCTCAAGAGCAGGAAGGCAGCAGAGTTGAGACTTGGCGGGGAGCAGCGCGTTAACACCAGCTCCGCGCTGTGGTGCTTCCAGTGAATTAACTCTGGTGACTGTGTGCTCTTGTTCCAGCCATCGAGAGAACTGCAAGCTGAAGGAGTCCAGCAGCCAGCACCTCGCCATGGAGTTCTGCAGCTACCCTGCCAGCATGTCCCGCTACATCGACTATCGCCACTGCTCCCTGGAAGAAAGGCACAGCGAGGGAGGGGGAAACACGGTGCCTGTCTGTGAGAAATTTTCGGTAAGCACAATAAATCCCTGCTGCCTTCCTGGCTCTGTGGAAAGAGCCGCATGTGGGCAGAGCAGGATGTGGTAGGAAGGCACATGGGAACTTCCCCTTGCTTTAAGGAAGATTTTCAAGCTTCAGGTGGCTTTCTGACAAGGCAACAGCATGCTCTGTCTGGAGGTGGTGAGCTCCACCAGCTACATTAGACACAGACTGAGATTATATGGCTCTAAATAGCAGGCTGGTGTGAGGTACAGTACCTGCTGCTGTCCTGGGAGGGCTGTAAGATTTTATTTAGTTTGGCTTGTCCTCTGAGCAAGAAAAGCTGCCTCTTCCCTCTCCCATATCTTGATGGGAATTAAAATATTGCCTGTCTGCAGTTTCTGGCACTGCAGCACAGAGTAACCCCCAGCATCGTGAGTCCTGGTGCTGCTGCAGCAGTGAACAGAGCCCGTCTGATCAGGCCATAACTGGGGACAGGGAGCTCTTCCAGATGTCGCATGTTACGGTCACAGAACAGCACAGCCTGGGGAAACCTCTGGAAGTTTCCCATCCAACCACCAACTCAATATTGCTCAGGGCCTGGTTTGGTGAATTTTTCAAATCTCTAAGGACAGAGATCACAAATCCCTCCCAGCCCCAGTGCTTGACCACTCTGAAAAATGCTTTCTGATGCATCTAGGCAGATTTTCCTCTGGCTGTTACCATGCCACCTTTCCCCGTGCTCCCCTCAGAGAACTTTAGCTCCACCTTCTCTCTAACCTCTGCTGCAGACAGCAGCTAGATCTCCCCATCCCCTCATCCTCACCTTCCCCAGGTGGACCAAACCCCCCTTCCCACCATCATCCATTGTGTGCTGCACCTTGACAGCTACACTGGCTGTGGTTTCAGTGCCTTTCTTGTGTGTTGTGGGGCTGTGACTGGCCCCAGTGCTCCTGATACAGCCTCAGCGGAGGGGGATAGTTAACTGTGCCCCATGTCATGGTGATAAGCTGCTCTGAGCAGGAGGCTGGTGGCTGCAGACCCTTCTCTTTCTCTCCCTAGGCCTATGGCTGGTGTCCCAAAGGGGTGAAGTGTCCGCAGTCCCATAACATTGACCTCATAATCGATGAGGATGACAAGCTTTGGGAGGAGAAGCGGAAGAAACGGAAGCACAAGTGGAAACGTCGGAAGAACACAGAAAAGCTCACAAAGGCTTTGGAACAGGAAAGCCCGGGAAAAGAAATGGAGCTGGCTCAGAACGGGGAGGAGGGACCGCCACGAAAACAGAGCTGCTACGAGCCTGCAGCTGCCGGGGAGCTGGCAGAGATCACACCAAGCACTGAGGAGAGGCTGCTGGGGGAGAACTCCACGGACATGGAGCCAGAGGGCAGCTCGGACATCGGCGCACACCAGGAAGGGGATCTGGGGGATGCTGCAGGAACTGCTGCCCAGGTAGCTGCTGCTGTGAGCCCTTCTGCCAAGGGAAACACCTCTGACAGCGACCAAGCGGAGGGGAAATCGGAGGTTCCCGCTGGGGTGGACTCAGTCAATCACACAGACATCCCTGAGACCAAAGCAGCATGTGCTGTGGAAAAGGAAACCCACGGGCCACCTTCCCAGGGGGGCACGCACCGAGCTGGCTTTGATGCCTTCATGACTGGTTATATCATGGCTTACGTCTGGATGCTCAAGAAAGGCAAGAACACGGACGCTGATGCAGGGCCCTGGTTGCCAGACTGCCACAACAAACTGTACCTCAGTGGGAAATCGGTGCCGCTTCAGATAGTGAAGAGCTTGTTCTCTAAGTCTTCCAAAGCTCACAGCCAGAAGATGAAGCTGGCCTGGGCCAGTGGATAGAGCCAGAGGATTCCTCACTGAACTGGGGGTTTTCTCCCTCAAGTTTTGAACATCTTCACTCCCTCAAGAACTGACTAGAAGGAGAGCAAGTTTCTTACTCCTGTTTTTTTTTGTTTTGATTTCTGACCAATTAAATTGCTCTCAGTTGGAGTTCCCAGTTTTTCCTTAGTGGTATGCTAAGCTGTGAAGGCTGGGGTGAGGCTGGAGAGGAGGGAGGACAAGTGCACCCCTCCAGCTGCACATGGGATTGCAGATTTGTTAAGTGCTCCTTTCTGGAAAGGCCATGTGCTGGCTACTTTAGCATGGGTTTCACTTCCTGCAGAGGAAGAGGGTAATTAGTTGATAATGAGAGGCCAGAGCTTCCCATGTTAAAGCCCCAGCCTCCTCCCAGCTCCTGCATTTCTCCTTACTGCACCCTTACCACCACCTCACTGTGTGCTGCCACACAGCCTTGTGGTTGAGGGCAGGACAGACCTTGTCAAAGGAGCATGTGCTGAAGGTCAAAGTCTGCCTACAGAAACACATCTGAGAGCTCCACTGTTGACCCATACAACCAGGTTGATGGAAAATGTTACTGGAGGAGGATGTGATGCTTTGGCCAAGACAGCAGGCTGGCTCTTCAGGCAAAGCACACGTTTTGATGAATGTTTAGTGAAGTGTTACTGCTGCTAGGGCAGTTTCCTAGGACTCCCAATTATTTCCTGGTTTTCTACGGGAGTAAAGAAGCAAAAAAGTGGGGTTTTTTTACTAGAAAAAAAGACACTGCCCATGGTTGGTTGGTTAAAACAGGCACCTGGGAGAGCTGTCCCACTTCATGTCTTGTCTTTACCTTCATCTTGGCTCCAACACACACACACACACACACGTACCTTTGCTCCTACAGGAGAGGGAGGAAGGAGAAAGCTGCAGCTCCCAAGTGGGCCAGCAGATTCTGGTGCAGGGTATCTGCATGCAGAGCCAAGCCACAGCAGGTTTTCAGACTTTAAGGGAGATGCAGTGGGACTTAAAGGCACACGTGGTCCTCCTGAGCTGCATTGCTTCCTGTGCTGCTGAAGATACTCTAGGCAAGGGCTAGCAAAAGCTGTGGGCCACAAGTTGCTGCCTACTCTTCAGAGCGCTACAAGGTAGAGCAGAAAGAGTCCGTGAGTCTCACGATTTCATAGTGTGACACTTGAGTAAGGTGCAGGAGGGAAATAACACTGAATACGGGTGACAGTTCTCCCTGGTTGTAATTCAGCAGTGAATTACCTCAAGGCAGGTATTAATGTCATCCGTAGCTTAAGCAAGCATCTGAGCCCCCTTTTTAACCTGGAGTCGCCCTCTTAATCACGAGACTCAAACCTTGATTTTATTTTTATTTTTGAAAGCAAGTTGGGAAAGTTTACAAAACCTGACCAAGAAAAAATTACGAAAATATTTCACTGGATTCATCTTTGGTTACTTCTTATTGCAGTTCCGACAGAACATACACCATTGCTAGAGCTCAAAAAAAGTCAAAGGTCAATCAACATAAAAACAAGACGTGCTTTCTTTACATCTCCATAAATATCCACAATATTAGAAAAGTCGTTTTGCAAAGATTCTTTTTCTGGCAGTGTTAACTTACTATTATACACAGGCTACGAACTTCCTCCTAAGCCTTTAATTACAAGTCGAGCTATTTACAGACTGCAAAATATTAAGACGTAAAACTCCTTCATAAATACGAAAATAGATCATCTCGCCAAGGTCTTTATACTTAATCAAATATCTGGCTGCCCCTCCTCCCCGAAAAAAGAAGGTTATTTGTTTTGCATAGAAATGTAGTGACATGCAATATAAACAATAGCATTAAGTGCAAACAGGAATTATTCAAGTGTCTTTAGTTGTACTGGCAAAAAATACCAACGTTCTGTTACACAAAATACGTCCATGCCTCTCCCACCGGTTCCTCCAGCCCCGCGTCTGCACGGCTCGAGGGGCAGCAGTTCACGTGCGTTCTCTTGGGCGCGTTTTCTCAACCTGCAACCTCACCAATAGCTTATCGCAGACATTTAAATTAACTGAACATAGGAAGATTCAAAGTGAGTTTAAAAACATCTTTGATCTCTTCAGGGAACCTAGCAATACGAACAAAGTGTTTTAAAAGAGCAAGGACTGCTCCCGTGAGAAAGTCAAGAATCGCCATAAAACCCAATCGCAAGAAAGCTTCGTCACATCACCGTAAAACCGGAGCTGCTGACCGCTCGTTCGTGTTCGTGGTCAGCAGCCGCTGTGTCAGGAAGTGGCCTCCCTTAGAAAAGCACCCTCAGGGAGGCAGAAAACCTAGGAGGAGTTACTGGGTGCAACCTGGATTCAGCTTTACACAACCACAGGGATGAGATGTGAGGGCCAGCCGCATCCAGGCCCTTGGGAACGCTGGGTTTCAGCAAGCTCTTGGCTGATTTAACACGGCCTTCTACTCAGTGCCATACACCTGCCCCTTGCCATGCAGACCACAGACCCAGGCAGGGCCTGAGCCCTGTTCCTTGGTGTTTTCTCTTTCTAACATCTCCACCTCAGTATAAAGAGCTAGAAGAGCTGACAGATGTGCCCTGTGCAGCTGGCGGTGCTTAGGGTGGACATGTAACCAAACAACCCCTTAGCCACGCTGCCTTGTAAGAGCTGTTCGGAGCAGGGAAACGTTTGAAGAGATGGTGGTGCAAGAAAACAGATGAGGTCGCTGTGACAGGTGCCACAGGGGTACCCCAAACCCAACTGCACGGGCTCTGCAGTCAGAGAGGCTTCACGAGGAGGTGTCAGCACTGACAGTCAGGGCTGACGTGAGCCATGGAGCAGCCCGAGGTGTGCGGCTGCTCTGGTGAGGCTACAGCAGCTTCCTCGCAGCCTGGGGATCCAGAAATGAACTGCTCATTATTGCTTGTTTGCCTGAAGTCACACACGCAAGTGCATCCTGTGACAACAGGAGCTGCTGGTGCTGCTGCCCTCCCTCCCAAAAGATTACAACTGTATAAAAGGGAAAAGGATTCAAGAAGAACAAAAGCAGCAGGCAGTGAGCCTGAGCTGGCAACTCAGTTCTGCTGTTTCTCGAAGGAAATCACACACACGGAGCCAGCCACACGAGCTGCTCTGCAGACCCCAGCCCTGCAGACCCGATACACAAGATCAGCACCTTCAGGAGGCACAGAGGTGTGGGCCAACAAGGGTGATTTCTTGGTAAGGACAGATGTTTTCAAACTCCTCACAGCTGCCTGAGCTGCCACAACGTGTACTAAGTAACCCAGTGATGCTGTGTTTCTCATTTAATCCTTCACAGCCACTGCAACAGGGATAACTGCTGCTCAGGTTAACACCTATTTCGCAAGAGGAAGTCATAACTCACTGAATAGCTACCAAAACCTCTGGAAAAATGAGCATCTCAGCTGAGAAAGAACTAAGGCTTTCTCCTTCATCCTTTCTTTGAGACAGGAAGAGAGCAGGAATAGTCTTGCTTCCATTAGAGACGAGCTGATGTTTTCCAACCTTAAGAGAGAGCAGGGAGAGAGCGTAACAGGCTCCCTGGGTGAAATTCTGGTCTCCACAGCATCACCATCTGCTCAGCAGGCATGCAATGCAGACCTCAGTTAGGAATGATAATATAGGCTAAACAAAAAGTGGGAAAGTGGATGTTGCACAGACACCATCGTCACAGAACAAGCTCTCCTGTGCATCACATCCCAGAGCAGGGATCTCTGACGCTGGTTCCAGCAAGCAGCACTAAAGATCTGCCACAGCTTCTTTCACTTGTACCTGCTGGTGGAGGGAAGATATGAAAGATCATCCTATGCAGTGACAGAAGCCAATGGAAACAACTGCTGCTTTCCATAGCAGAAAGGTTAATTGGGACAAGCTCATTTTCTCCAGTCTGACAATTCAAAGCCCTTCTGTGCGTCTACCCTCTCCCAGAGCACTTGCGTGGTTGCAATGCTGCTGGCAGCTTCCCCTGGGCAGGGGATCCCTGTCCTCTATGAACAATCTGGTTTTAAACAAGGAGCCATCATTTCTGCAGTGGTACCAAGGAGATGGGATGTTGTAAGAGAGGGAGGTGAACGTGACCCTAGTGGTGAGAGCCAGCTGTGATCCAGGTGTTCTACTTAATTCACTATTCTGCAGAGCCAGATGATGATGTCTGTTCAGCTCCGCACAGATAAGAGCCACCCGTCCCAAAACCTCAGCCCACTGGTATTTTACTCGCAGTGTTACTGGCAGTTTCTCCAGAAGCCCAGAAAGGACAGTGCCTGGAATATGGCTCTCCTCTTGTGCCCTGTGCAGATCTTCCTCCACATTCGGGTTGAGGTACGTGAAGAGCTGTGCTTACTGTGTGTATTACACAGCGTCCCCAAATCCCCAGGGAAAGTGAAACACCAGGGAACAGATTCTTCCTGGTAATTGCAAAGTACTCCTCATGTGCCTCAGCCCCGCAGCCTGCCACCAGCACGGGGGGTGGTGGTGGTGCTGGTTTTGAAAGAAGAGCCTGTTTAACGCTGCAACAGCATTCACAGCAGCTCTGGGACCAGGGAGCATTCCGGCCTGCTCAACACAGCTCTAAAGATCTCTGCCCATTTCTAAATCAGAGGCTCTGACTCACGTGCGCTGCTGCAGAATGCAATGCAAAACCTGCAGTGGTTTAGAGCAGCTGGTCAGTCAGGGGAAGAGGGAAAACCTAAGGGTTGCTCTTTCCACCCAACATGGGGTTTAAGGCCTCAAAATGCTCCATGCTGGAATCCAGGTCAAGCTGTTTACCCGGTGCCTGCTCTGGCTGCTGCCTCTTGGAGGGACTGTGGGGCCCACATGGCCATTCTGGCTGGAGTAGATCCCCCTCCTAATGCAAAATCAGGGAAGGGAAGAAGCACAGTTTGAAATCAAGTTAAACTGATCAGTCTCTCCAGACACTGCAGCTATCTGTTTGACAGCCAGTTTCTACTATCTGCTGAGTCTCTTTCGAATATCAAACCCAGCACTACAGAAAAACAGAGTTTAAGCGACTGGGAACAACTGTTCCCTCAAGGACACACTCAGTTTGAGCCCTGTCTTCAGATGTCACAAGCTGACTGCGTGCTGCCACTTGCGGAGACGCTGGAGGAGGTCTGAGAGGACGGGGCAGGACTGTCCCCATCCTGCTCCCTGAAGGGCCATGCCTCTCTCTTCAGCTCAGTGGAAGGACTGATGTTGAACAGAGGCTTTGTAGACTCCAGCAGAGTATTTTTCAGTAGGTCATCTTCTACCTCCATCTCTTCCAAAGGGAGACAACTCACGAACACTGGTGAGGAGCTGTGTCCCTCAGAGTTCACCGAATTCTCAACTGGGACTTTTTTGTAAGACAGCGGCTCAGGCTGGGCCAGCACTAAGGGTTGGTTACGTGCTGAGTCTCCACACGTGTTCTCAACGGGGCAAAACCCATTTTCCTCCTGGGCCACCGGCCCATCTGAACAGTCCATGTCCTCTTCTTGTCCTGCTACAGGCAGAAATTCTGGCCTGTGAGGCTTGGCTTGAAAGGGGGGAATCTCCGACACGCCGTATTTGCTGCTGCTCAGGAGCTTCTGCCGAACCTCCGCACCCAGCTGGATTGGGTCACACCTGCCGACGGTTGAAGACAGCCCCCCAAACAGGCCGTATTCCTTGTGTGGCAGTTCAGGTGAGACAGGAAGGGATCTGCACCTCCTCCCGGGAAGGAGGGAGAATTCCTGCCAGTCCGTGCTGTACGCCTGCCGGAGCTGGGGCTGGCCGGCCCTCAGGCCTCCACCGGCCTCGGGAGAATGCAAGTCAAACACCAGGGAAATCACAGACTTGCTTGGCATGTCAAAGAATTTGATCTTCCCCCCCTTGAGGTCCTCCCGGGCACTGAAGGGATTCACTTTCCGGCCTAAGCCTTTGTTTGGCGTGTAGTAGGGGTCCTGCACGTTTATCTTCCTGGAAGGCTTGCGGGAGAAGATATCGGACTGGCTGCGGGACAGCCAGATGTTCCGACGTGGACGGGGCGACTTCGGTGGGATCTTATCGTCCAGGGAACTCAAACGTTTTACTCCTGGTCCTTTTTCAATTGAGCCTGAGTAGAAGAAGAGACACACTCTTAGCATAAAGGAGCCATACACCTGCATGTCTGCTCACTCACTGCCTTCACAACAATGGCACAGGGAGTCTCGGAGAAGAACAATTTGCATGTTTCTAGATTTCTCATCCTGGCTTTCAGCAGAGGTTGCCCACAATCTCTTGAGGATACTGAGCACATCTCACCTCGATGGGAGAAATCTAAGACCAAAATAAATGCCCCTCGTGATAACATGAAGAGTTTAAATCTTTCCATCCCAGCTTTCATTCAGTACATTACCCAGTACGGAAACTGGGGGTGTATGAGAGTTTGACTCTACTGAATAGGAGGTAAAAAGCTGGACCTCTGTGTGTCTGTGCATTTATTTGCACACACATATACATATACATGCAAATAAAAGCTGTATCACTGGAACAGGATGAGAAAAATGTAGTTGTTTAGGAAAAGACGCTAACTCCTGGGTGTTTGGAACATGCCTCTGCTGCTGGCTCTGAAGAGCTATGGTAAAGTAATAACAAACAGATATAAATAAGGGATAGCTCCTTTCGATTGCCATTTCCAGAATAAGCACATATGGATTTCCACTTCTCCCTTTAAATACTGCCACAGTTTACACTGCAGTCACTCCACCTAGGAAAGACTACACGAGCCACAGAACAGCATGTAACGCTGCTCCAAGAAGGTGCAAATCTGAGATGTGCTTCAGAGGGAGAATGACAGGAAAATGACAAAGCTCAAAACAAAAAAGAACCAAACCAAACAAAAAAAAATCCTTTTTAACTCCTTTAGATGCTTTCCAGGTGAGGAGAACGACCACAGGCATGTACTCCATGTGCTCTGAAGTACAGAACTCATTTCAATCTGTAAGCATATTTACAGATAGATACGTGTGTGTGTGTGTATAAATATATATAGTATTCATATATATGTAATATGAGAAACTATTTTTACCATACTCTGAAGTTTCCAGTGCCAGAAGTCTCTAACATGAACAATACCCCCGTCAAACTATGCCCCAGCTTGCAAGAACTGCTTGCAGTTTGCGCCCCACACCAGGTGGCACCAGACAGCTTCAGAGAAAGCCCTTCGAGGGCAGCATTCCCAAACAGATCTGGGATTCATCTTTTCCCTGGTCTTTCAGAGTATTCCTAGGTGCTTTATAATACTCTTGAATCTTCTCTGCCCTTCCTCCTGAAGGAATTTAAGCAGCTTATACAGCATACACCAGTGTAATTACGTATATAATTAAGTATATGCACTAGGTATGGTGGGGACAGAGCACAAGTTGATGAATTTTCATGTACTATTACCAACTTACAAAACCATCCCCAAAAGAACTCTACATTTCCTGCCTGTGAGCAGAATCTTCTGAGGCACTTTAGGAAACAGTTAGCTGTTCTTTCCCAGAGGATGCTCTGCAGGGTGAAGTATAGAGCATTGGTCCAGGCTTTGAGTAAAATAATTCATCAGCTGCAAGTAATAGGATACACAGCTGAAATCCCAGTCTTCACAATATGAAGCATGTCTGTACAACACAGACACTTACCTTTGGGTTTTCTTTCACTGTTGTCAAGGTTCAAAAACTTTCTCTCCGAGTCCTCGTTTCTCAGGCGGTTCAAGATCTCCTCCAGTGTTTTGACAATATCAGCAAAGGAAGGACGCAGCTTTGGATCCATCTGTGAACACACACGAGTCAAGTAAGTCCATGTGGGTCTGTCCATGCCATTCTACTCACACAGTGCACAGGCAGAGGGACAACCTGCAGGAGCTGAGGAAATTCAAGATCATTTTAAGAAGTGCTGTCATTGCAAAAAACCTAGGTAAAGCAGGGGAAAAGCAGCATTCTGTCCCAGTTTATGGCTATTATACCTCTGTCATTTAATTATCAAGTTGTAAACGTTCTACGATGAGGATGCATTTTAAATGGAACAGGTGGGAAGCTGTTAGATTCAGGGCTTGGTTGGTTGTTTTAAACAGCTTTCACAGTTCAAAGATGTATTTCTGGACTCCAGTTCTCAGTCAGAGATTACACACCAGTGTGCCTGAAGCAGTAAGGATTAACCAGAGCAACTTGGCTATGCTGGTCTTTAGAAGTCTGTAGTTCTTCCATCATCGCCTTGTGGCTTTAATTAAAATGTACCTAAATGGCATTGCTGATGTGAAAGTTTAAAATGCTGTATCTTACCATCTGTTAATTAGCCTTGCTAGTTGGGGTAGTGGTCTGTCTTGTGAGGAAGCAAGACTGGTTATATCATTTGGCAGAGTAAGACAACAGGAAAAATAAAAATCTATCTTTGCCCAAGTAAAATACCCCCCAGTCACCAGTATGTGTTACATTTGTATTCATACAAATTTGCATGTATTTATTCATTCACCCTAGTAGAAATGGAACTCTAAACAAAGTCCAACACTCAAACTGTACTAGAGGGCATCAGCTTCATTTGAGTAGTGACTGAGAAGGCGCTTCACCATTCTGAACATTGACCCTGGACATCTGTCACAGGTTTAACCACCCTAGGTAGCAGTGTCTCATTCAGCAGCTGAAAGTTAACCTCATTACACCATTACAAAGAAATTCTGCTTGACCTCACTGCTGTTTCCAGCCCTGCAAAGGCTTTTTCAGAGCAGACAAGCCCAGACAGGTCTCACCTCCAGTACAAAGGGAACAGTGGTGCTTTGTACACAGCAAACCCCAAAGCCCTCCCTGGTGCTGCCTTGCAGGTCCTAGGAGATGGATCTTTCTGAAGAGAACTGGCACGATCAGCAATGCCAAAACACCTTCCAGCAACGTGGGGTAAAGGGCTAAGAATTCATACGTACAGGAATTAAAAAACCAAACAAACCCCACTTGAAGTGCTCAAGAGCAGCAAGAAAGTTGTTCTAATGCAGCAGCTGGAATTTCCTGGCATAGGAAAATACCTTTTTCTGCTTTCCTTGTTTCACTGAAAGAGCAGAGTAGGGGCAACACCAAAGCACACACTCTGTACTCTGACAAACTTACTAATTTGGGAAGCTTAGAGAGCTGTTGCAAGTTACAGAAAGTAAGAAGAGCTCCCTGGCTATTTTAGTTTGTGCTTGGTAAGTTCTGGGACAAGAGCAGCAATGGAGCAGTGACTCAGAGCAACGTCTGCCTCTCCCATCCCTGAGCAGTCCAGATCCTGCTCCAGTGGAGTCGCAGGTTCCTCCTGAAGGCAGCAGCTCCCACAGCTCAGCCCGTGCTGGGAAGGTTTTTGCAGCATCACACTCGATTACGTTTATAAGCATTTGCATAAGTAGGCTTAAAGTTGTCGGGGAGCCGTAAGTTTTAGACTTCCTTGCATGTTTTTATTTAAAAGGAAAACCACTTTATAACAGCAAATTAAAGACATTTTAATCCACTGCCCATACATGTCAGTTTTTACTGGTTTTAAGTTGCCCTAGCACACATTTCCTGGCTGTAGAAAACCCCAGCTCCTTGCATATTAGTTCAGTCAATCAGCTGAGCTACACAGTTTACACTGTTTGTTGACCTGTTAAATAATAAAAAGCTATACAAACATCCACGTCCAAGAGCAAATTATCATCCAGATTAGCTGTTATTGAAGCACAGCATGCTTAGGAAAATATAAGAAAGTCTTATGTGTCACCACCTTTTTCCTTCCACTAGGTAAAGGGTAAGTGAGTTACAGCATGTCCCACAATGAACTCAGCACATTAATGGCTCGATCACAAGGCAGTCATTTCCACTTTCAGTTCAGGGAAGGGACTTGTATTATACAGGAAGCAGCGCTGGACAGTAATCGGTAGGAGAAAATCGTTTTTGTCTGAACACACCAAATTCTTACATGAGAAGATGAGATCAGTCACTTCCCCTTCTTCACAAGTACAGCTTTACTCTGAATTTCACCTGCACTGAAAAATTGCTGTGAATCACACATCTTGTGTTTGGATCCAGCACCATTTCTGGAGTCTGCAGGTGGGAGCCAAGGTTTCCCATGTCCAACCATGCCAAACCATTTCGTGCTTACGTAGCCAAACCCTTCATAACCACAGTCAGCCCTGGTGAGGCAAGCTCCACCGCACTGAGGTGCAGTCAGAGCAGTGAAGTCTCTTGTCCAGAGGAAGCCCCACAAACATTTTTAGAATTAATTGGTGGTACTTTGTCAAGAGCAGCCGTCACCCCCGCCTGCTCACATCCTCATCTTTACACTGCGAGCATGTGCGTTTGTGCTAATAGAAAGTAGAGAGAGAGCTTGAGGCAAAAATGAGCATGGAGAGCAAGACCGCTTCTTTCAGCAGCAGTGTTGGCATGAAAACAAAGCCTGAAAAATCAGTAACAGACAATAAAAAGCCTGTTCCGAGGCTTTTCTTACAAGCACTCACTTGGACGCAGTGCTGGTACTGGCCCAGCATGGCCTGGGTGTGGGGTCCTGGGCAGAGTTTTATGTAGTTAAACGTTTAGAACTTGCTGCAGCTTCAGTTATGCAAAGTGGGCATTCCCAGCTTCAGCTGCACTTGGTGCAAGCTCAGGTTCTCTTACTTCACATAAACCAGTTTACTATACAAAGGTACTATTAACCTCTGTTATGTGATAACCCACAGAAGGGATCTACTTCCCTGGAATTTTCCACACTGAGGAGCCATAAAGGTATCCAGCACTATCACAATTTTACTTAAGTAACTGGCAGAAAATGTACTCCATACAGTGCACTGCCTACAGCCTTACTGATATTAAAGCATTTGGGTCCAGGTTTGGTTTTCTGGAACACAGATTTGGAGGCTTATCCTGCTTTCCAAAAGGCAACATATAGAAACTTGAGTAGTTTAGTGCCTGCTCTTGATTTGTTTGTCCCCTCTGTGAGAGCAACGCCGAATTCTTTCTTCACAGCTCAGTAGGTCCGTGCACAACAGCAGCTGGATTCTGTCAGCCCCAGGGCCAGCCAGTGTCAATGGCCTGCAACTGGTTACGATCAGCCTGAGCAGCCTGCAGGAGCTGTGCAGTGTGCCAGACCTGTTTGTTGGGCATGACAAAACCACAAGATAGAGCTTTTTGCAAGGAGAAGGGTTATAAAAACTGCAAGGGACTTGCTGGGTTATCAGAATGTACGCTGCTTTTATAGGCAGGCTCTTCAGATCTCTTCTGTAAATGCTTTAAGCTCTCTCTTCAAAAGCCAGAGGGATTTAGAGAACTCGGGTTTAGGTCTCTCCCCCTCAAGTAGGATACTCACGTTACAGCAGTTGAAGGCCAGCTGGAGGAAGTCGGGGGGACAATCTCCCACCATGTGCTGGAAGGCATCATAATCTAATCCAAAGTTCTGTACAGACAAAAACACAGCACAGAGATACAAATGAGATCTGCCGTCTGGCCCAAAACATCTTCTTTTCAGGGGGTCCCTACGTGGGGTTATCAGGAATAACCACAAACACCATCTCAGCAGCCACATACGGCGGATTTTGAGAAAACTTCACGCACGCTCTGAACTGCAGGATTCCCAATGGGGATCACTTGACACAAGATACCTGCAAGAGAATGAGCTGACTTCAAAGCCCATCCTTCTTCCTGGACTCAACTGCAACCCATTGCACTTGAAACGCTGCCCGTGTGGGTCTGGAAGCAATATCCTACACCGTGATGTTTCACCACGGTGACTTTCACAGTGTAATTAACAGCCTGCTGTAAAACCAGAGGCTTTGCTATGATGAAAGTTTACCAATTAAAACGGTTCATTTTTCAGCGGATGGCAGACTGGTCATACAAATGATCCAGTTCCTCAAATGCACTTCTGTACAGTCTGAAGGGCAGAGAAACAAAAGGATCTCTTACTCACTGTAGTTCAAGACCTAAGCTATTGTGCATTTTCAGAACCGGAGGGGAACAGACAGTTTAGGAGACTCCCCACTGAGGGCCAAAAGCTGCCCTGCAGACAGGACTCAGCCAAAAGGCAACTGAAGAAAGTAAGAGGTATCTCATTTGAGTAGTCAATTGTAGCCCAGGTCCACAGAGCTCAGCACGGCTCATGCAAAAATAAGGACAGGCTGATTTTAGCTGCTGCTAACGTAGCTCCTGCCCCTCTCACAAGGAGGAGCTGCTTAGCAGCTGCAGGGTGCTCTGTTCTGAACGTGGCAAGAAGTCTCCACAAGCCGAGTGTACAACAGGAAGGTCACTGCAGTGCTCTCGATGTTCTGGCAGTGAAGGGCAGAAAGGACTCCCCATGAGGGCTGCAGCTGGAGCAGGTCTGTGTGAAAGTGTCTTCAATGCAGCTTCTTATAACAGCAGCACAGCAGAACAAAAGCCTTTTTCAGGCTATTTTTAATGTTACACCTCTTCACCGTATCTTTGGCAGCAGTGTCAGAGCTCCCAAAGGGCTGCCATTATCACGGCACGCTTGCCACCTCCCACCACTGTTAGAAACATAACCACTTACCTCTGTGCGAGGGAGATAGTCTGGGTCTGCCTGTATTCTTGCTATGATCTCACACAGGATGATACCATAGGAGAACACATCCGCCTGAGGGAGGAAAAATCATTAGCCACACGGTTCAGCTATGAATGCTCAGCACTCTTATCTGCCACTGAGCTTCTCCTCAGCCCAAGTGGTTATCATGGAGCAACTGGACCAACACCGCAGCTTTAGGACACTAAATAACTGCATTATAGCCAATGTTTGCCATGTGAAGAAGCACAAGCTCACAGTAAAGCATCCTTGTTGCACAAATAGCAATGATAGCTTTAAAAATCTTTCAAGAAAAAAAGCCAACCACGACACCAAAGCACTCTTAGTTCAGCAGTGTAAAAAATAAGAAAATCCTTCCTTGTATGAAGAACGGTGAAGCTGCATTTGATGTCTTACAGATGGGAGCAATTAAAAACCCAGCCAAAACCACGACATGCCTATAGATCACTGTGGTTCAGAATACGTATGATCACAGCTTATCCAGGATATTAATGATGCTTTTAAGAAAAATTACAGTTCTCTCTTCTCACAGTGGAGTACCCCTGGGGAAAACTGCGTCTTTCCCAAAGCCTGAGCTATCCAGTAACACTCCACCAGCATCAACTGCCACTGACATTTCCATGATGCTCAGTAACCACTTGGCTGACTGTACCTGGAGCCCCAGTTTCTCAGATTTCCACACACCTGAGCTGTTCATCTAATAAAATGTAGGAAAATGTGGCATACAAGTCTCCAGAGCAGAAGCTGGTACCCCTCATCCCTTAGATACCAGGCAGGATGATGCTGCTGCGGTACAAGACCTGCGTCCTCTTTAGTCCCGCATGCCCTAGGGTTAGCAAAGAATGTGGCACCATAGATTTGGGTACTTTATTATTAATTTAGGTCAACTGAAACTCTTAACAAAGCTTTGAAATGGTAATTATGACATTCATTACTGAGGTAGCTTTTCTGGAAGTTAGAAGTACCACCAGTTAAACAGATTATTGACTGCGAGCTATAGAAGGTACAGGATGTGGGATTTCTTACAGAAAGCTGCACTTACAGGGCTGAAGTAGACTATGTTATACATGGGACAGAAAACCCTGTGTAAAGATGAGCTCGACTGAAAACACTATTTCTAAAATCCAGCATGATCTGATCTCCTCTGAGAGAGACTTTTCCCAAATAGAAAAACTTAGGAATTTATCCAGGCATCTCACCTCGAGAAAGGGCTTTGTTTGTTAGTTTTAATTAAAATACTTGTACAAATTTAGACACAGACCTTGTACTTCCACCTAGATTTCACTGACATGTGGTCAGGGAAGTAACTTCACTACATTCTCATGAGACTTGGTTAAATGAAGTTGTGTTAGGTCAACAAGCCGTTGTATTTCTGCACACGAGGTGTTTCAGTGGAGTAGCAGGGAATTATGCTAAAGGTAACTCTATTTCTGTATAAGAATCCACACCATGAACTAAAAGGACTGGTTTTTCAACTCGTACTGTCCCTTAGTCTGAGTGACCTACTGAGCACAGAAGTGTCACAAATGAAAACACAACAATTTTGATATTATGGAAATTCTAGATCTTGTACACAGCTGTTGGAGAGCAACATCTGACAACTCGAGTCCATTTACATCCTGTACCTACCTTTTCATTGTAGGGTTCATCTCTGAGAACTTCTGGGGCCATCCAGAAGGGTGAACCCACCACTGGTAACTTCTCACTGTAGAGATATGGGATAGATGGGGGAAAGGGAGAAGAGAAGAACCATTAATGAAATACTATGGCATGGGCAGTGCTGCTACCTTTCCATAGTCCAGGTATCCACAGAAACATTCACCGGAGGGAAGCTGATACCAGTGGGTTCCATAACACACTGTATTTTACACTGGTTTCCTACTGGAACATTCAATAAATCTTCAATCAATTACTCATATTTTATTTCCAGTTTCTAAGTGCCTGGCCACTTTAAAAACAAATATATATTCTCTTATTTGAAGGTCACAAGTGTTTGATAGCTTTTGTTTCCAAACTCTTGGCAGAGTGAGCTCGTCCATCTGTACACAGAAGGGTTGTGGACACTGTTCTTGGGCTGGATGTCAGGTTCTCCATTCACACAGGACTGCAGGTATCCATCCCTAC